GCTGGAGTGCAATGGCGCGATCTCGGCTCACCGCAACCTCCGCCTCCTGGGTTCAGGCAATTCTCCTGCCTCAGCCTCCTGAGTAGCTGGGACTACAGGCATGCGCCACCATGCCCAGCTGATTTTTTTTTGTATTTTTAGTAGAGATGGGGTTTCACCATGTTGACCAGGATGGTCTCGATCTCTTGACCTTGTGATCCACCCGCCTCGGCCTCCCAAAGTGCTGGGATTACAGGCTTGAGCCACCGCGCCCGGTCCGAGCACCCTTTCTTTAACAGCACCTTCCCTCCCGGCCATGCTTACCACACTGTGGCCCACTTGTCCACAATGACCACGGTGTGACCCTGGTCCTGGAATGTCCGGCACAATGGGGGTGGCAGGAGGAGCACTCTGCCTCTGTCAGCGGCTGATTGGTTACAAGATGCCCTGCAAACACATCGTCAGCAGAATCAGCTGTTTGCAGCGTTGCCCTGCTCGGCTTTACAATCACACACCAGCATGCGGCCCAGGGTTGTCATGGCTTTGTCTCCCTTATGCATGCTTAATTGACAATTAAGCTGGGGCTTTGAACCAGCCTGGCTGCCGCTGCTGGGCCTTCATCTTTCCAGGGAGTGTCACAGGGGCACCCTTTGTTTGCTCTTCTTGGGGGCCTGAAGTTACTGTAGCAGGCTGCAGGCAGCCATTTATCTTCAGCCTCGAAGGCCTTTATCTGCCCCCACCCCCTATTCCAGCTCTCGGCCAGCAGGAGCTGTCCCTGGTTATAGGCCCCATGACAGCCCATTCTGAGGCCATTGAGCAGGCCCGGAGTGATGGCCTCTACCGCCCTTCTGGAGATGAGTCAAGAGAAAGGCCCCAAAAGGTCAGAGGGCAGGGCGGCAGCAAGGAGAAGGACTGGTTGGAGCCTGGTGCTTGTATTGATTGGCTTGAGGAGGAGGAGGAGGAAGTTGGCGCTGGATGGAAGCTCTGCTAGCCTTGGCCTGAGCCATGGTATCTGCGGTGTGATCTGTGGCGTCCTTGCTGCCTGTGCCCTTTGCTCTAGTCTGCAGCAAGCTCATCTGGCCACCGCCTTGAGGAGGCGAGGAAGGGTAAAAGGTCTTCAGCAGCCTCCGCTCTCCCATGCGTGATGTCCTCACTTTT